AAAAAAATGGCAGGAAAAGGAGGAAAGGACTGGGGAAACAGAGTGTCCAGATTTTTCCTGGGTGCAATGTGTTCCCTTGGCCAAGGTGCCTCTCACCAGGTAGCTCAGGGCGCTCGCGAGCTGTTTGGCCACTTTGAATTTCCACGGCGTGGTGAGAACTTCACTCTTCTTGTGCATGAACAGATCCAGAGGCCCAAACTCCACAAACTCTTCCACCATGATGTCTGCAGAGAAAGGTCCAATCAACAATTAAATTAATTGCAGTTATTTGTGTTCTCACCTCCCCACCATGCTCCCAGCCCAGAGGGTTGGAATTATTTATTTTGCCTGCCCCAGGTTTATCTCAGTGCTCAGATGAAAAGGCTGAGGGGTTTCATGGAATGAACAATAAACCAGGAACCATTCCAAGGGGAATCACCCCTGCCACGGGCTGGGTTGGATCCCCCCTGTGGCCTTCCAGCCTCAAGGAATCACCCAGGAAAGGGGAATTCAGCGGGAGAAAGTTGCTTTGGTGTTCCAGCTCCACTCTGGGGAGCTGCAGAGGGAACAGCTGCCAGCCCTGCTCCTGTCCATGCTCCAGCCCTGTCCCTGTTCCAGCCCTGTCCCTCCCGTTCAAGGCTGTCCCCTCCTGTCCCCCCCATCCCTCCCCTCCTGTCCCAGCTCACTTTCCACGTCGCGCACGCAGACTCCGTGCAGCAGCACCATGTGTTTGTGGTTCACCTGTCTCATCATGCTGGCTGTCTCGAAGAACGCCTGAGGAGGGACAGAGAGAGAGTTTGTCAGTGCTGCTGGGGCAGCCATCCCACATTCTGACATTCCTGCAGTCCCACACTGCCCTATTCCCCATTCCCCATTCCCCCATTCCTGTATTCCCACATTGCCACATTCCCGCAGTCACACACTCCCCATCCCCATTCCCCCATTCCATTTCCCCATTCCCCACTCCCACATTCCCCATTCCCACTCCCCCCATTTCCAAATTCCCACATTCCCCATTCCCACTCCCCCATTCCCCCATTTCCAAATTCCCCCATTCCCCATTCCCACTCCCACATTCCCCCATTCCCACTCCCCCATTCCCCACTCCCACTCCCAAATTCCCCCATTCCCCCATCCAAAGCCCCGGGTCTGGTCACCCCAAAAGCAGCACAGGAGGGATGTGCCCCCTGGACCCTCAGCACTTCCCATTCCCAACCCTTTTTCCAAAAAACTTATAACTCACATAACTTACATAACTTAAAACTTACAATTAAAACTTACAACATACATAACTTATATAATTTAAATTTACAAAAAACTTACAACTTACATAGCTTATATAATTTAAAAATTACAATTAAAACTTATAACTTACATAACTTATATAACTTAAAACTTACAATTAAAACTTTTAACTTAACTTATATAACTTAAAACTTATGCAACTTAAATAACTTCAAACTTACAACTGAAACTTTCAACTTACATAACTTATTTAACTTCAAACTTACAACTTAAAAATTACAACATACATAATTTAAAACTTACAATTAAAACTTTTAACTGACATAACTTATATAACTTAAAACTTACACTTGAAACTTGTAACTTACATAACTTATATAACTTCAAACTTACAATTAAAACTTGTATCATACATAACTTATTTAACTTTAAACTTACAATTAAAACTTACAACTTAGGTAACTTATATAACTTAAAACTTTTAACTGATATAACTTATAYAACTTAAAACTTATGACTTACATAATTTATATAACTTAAAATTGACAATTAAAACTTATAATTTATGTAACTTGTATAGT